ACTAACAAGTCAGTTGGTATCTCACAAAGGATATAATCAATATATAAAACATATACCTGATTTACAAAAATTAGAATGGTTTGTGATAATGATAAAGAATGGCTCAATTTGCGAAGTGCCTGGCTCATTAGTCTAGCTTGCATTGCCATGTGAGCATCGCCCATCTCCCCATCAAGCTCGCCTTTAGGCACTAGCGCAGCCACCTGTGATTAAAATAACTATCATAAGGCCCTGCTTCCAAACATATGGTTAAAACAATCCTTTATTTTCTATTGAAAAGAAGAAAGAATCCTCAAATGAGAAGACAATCATCTAGAAGCAGTTTAGTGGAAAAACAAAGCCACAGAATAACAGAAATTGCGGTGAAGACCTTTGAGGGGACCCAGAGTATCTTTCATGGCAGATACTAAATAAAATTAAATAGTCACAGCCCATCTCGCTTTGTTGAAAATGAAGAATGAACCAAAAAACCAACTTACACTGTCAACAACAACAACATCAACAGATCCACTCCGAATTAGGGTATCCACAAGACTAAGAGCTTGTTCACCACAGTCAGGTTGCGAAAGAAGCAAATTCTCAGTGTTAACCCCAATAGCTTCAGCTAGATTTGGATCCAGAGCATGCTCAGCATCAACAAAAACACAATAACCTGAAAAATGCAAAGCCAACAACTTTGATAGATCAGGATGTTGTACCAAATTAAAAATCTAACCTTCATGTGGGCATTTCATACTTGAATTTAAGAAGATGATATGATGCATAAATAAACATCATTTGTAGAATTTGAGATGCTTCTAGCTATAAATGTTCTTCATAAGGTACTCAAGACTTAGTAGGGACAAGAGGCAAACATTTGTGGAATGAAAATTTAATTGTTCAGGTCACCATACAGGTAGAGATGTTCATCTTTAGCAGCACAAAGAAAGGAGGTTATGATGGATGATATGACAATTAAGTTTACATATTTTGCCAACATGGAATAATAGTTGTCAAACTTACTGGGACAGGTCACCCTAATTGTTATTTCTATTTTATAAATGAATACAGTATGGATATAAAAATATAAAATGCAACCTCCTTGTTTCTGTGCTTCAGCAATAACATGCAGAGCAAGAGTTGTTTTCCCAGAAGCCTCTGGTCCATATATTTCCACAACACGCCCCTGCCAGAATCCAGTATGGAATCAATAAACATGCCAACTCTTTCTAGTCTTTAATTTTGTCATCCAATAATGGTACTCCATGAAAGAGAGACTGAAAATTAACTTTCAAACAGAACTATTAGAAGAAATAGTGTAAGCTGTAGTATATAACTTATTTTCTCTACACTTTCTTGCAGTCTAAATGTTTTAAGTTATTAACGTGCAATGACAATAACTGGAAAGGAAACAATATCTAATGCTGAACACTCACACACAATTAAAAAAAAAAAAATTGATCCTCAAATTTTTAACTCAATTTCCAGTTACAATGTACAAATTGTGAAGCACACTCAGAAATGCAGGCAAAGTGGAAGGTGAGTTGAGGGTAAAGCTTGTGATGTACCTTTGGAAGTCCACCAGTTCCTAGTGCCATATCCAAGACAAAAGAACCAGTGGAAATCACTGGAACATTTCTATTCGAAACAGACCGGCCAAGCCACATGATAGATCCCTTTCCAAATGAACTAGTAATCTGATCCAGAGCCTGTTTTAGTGCCAGGTCTTTCTTAGACATATTCTCATCACCGGAGTCACTTACATCAGATTTGCACTTCCTTCTACCTAAAAGTAGATATCAGATAAGTCTGTTATCAACTACAGGGGCAACAGAAAAAAACAACACTAGTATAAAAATTCATTAAGTCCATAAAAACCCATGTACAGAATTCATCAAATGTAAATATTCCGAAGAATTCCAGTTCAAAATAGCATGTAACATTCCAGTCAAACAATATGGGCACTTAAACATAATTAAGCAATATAATCTAAATTGCCAAATAATGATCCTTTTTCAAATTTTTTTCAAAAGCATTCAAATTATAGAAAGCAATAAAATTTCTCAGCACCTTTAGAAGAAAAGTCGCGAAACTGAGAAGATGTCCCCATTACGCCTCCCTTAAAGACCTGCAAACGAGAGCAACCCCAAAAAGAAATATCACAAACAAAAACAGAAACAAGATTGCTAATCTCAGAAACCCGAAACAAATAACCACCCACGATTCCAAGTTTCAATTCCTTCACTTTTCCCAATTATTCTCACCAAACCAAATAGAACACTACTAATCAGCTACTTCAAACAGGGTATAAGCAAGTCATCGCGAAGGATCATAAATCAATAAGAAAAGATAATAACCTCTGGAGCGAGAACAGAGCGTTTAAGACCAGAAAAGCCTCGAAGAAACCTCGCCATGGAAGGCTATGAACGATTTTCCTTGGAGCTGAAAGGAAGAAATGGAGGGAAGAAGTACAGAGAGGAAGTGAAATTAAGGGTGAGAATATGTGTCATTCCATGGATACATAGCGAGAGAAGACGGAAAGGAAGGAGAAGAAGCAGAGGAGGAGACTCTGCTCCGCGTGTTTTAGGGTATTAGAATTTGGTTTCCCTCCATCGTCCTTATGTCGCTTGACTTCAGTGAAGTTAATCTGCCCTCCACCGCTGCGATAGATAGGTCTGGGCTCGTCGGTCAAAATGAAGGGCCCAGTTTCTTGAGTAAAAATGTGACGACAGTTCTACAGTCCGGTGTAGTTTATTCAAAACAATTTTTTCAATATTAATGGTCTGTTAATTTTAGTAGGGAAGGATTTAGATTTTTATTATTATTATTTTGAGTTTAAATTTTATAAATAAAAATGATATTCAAGAGATTTTGTCTTATAGGTTTAAGGTGATATAATTTTAGATTAATTAAAATTTAATATAATTTTTAAGTACTAATGGTTTAGAGAAAATAAAACAATTTTTTCAACTTCTAAATATTGTTCCAAAAAAGAAACTTGGAATATGCTCGATGTCAACCTTTTTTTAAAAAAATTTTATTAAAAAAATATTACAGGGAAAGTTATTAATTTTTGTAATAAATTTTTGTTTGATTTTGATTTTTTTTTTAATATTTGGTAAGAAATTTACATAAATAAAGTGATAAGTGTAGGAAAAATTATAGGAAACTTTTTCCTTTAAAAAAGAAGAAATATTTAGGTATTAGAAATTGTATTAAAAAAATAAAAATAAAAAACATTACTTTTATTCTTTATTTGTTATAATTTTTAAAGTATATAAATAGCAAAATATTATTATAAAATCCTGAAGGCAAATAATTCTCCAAAAAGCATACCAAATGCCTCCTTGAAGTTTAGCTCAGTTTATAAGACCTTGTTGACTCAAACTGAATATACCTAACAATTGATCATGTTCAAGTCCCTTCATTTTAGTTTGGGGGATAAATAATTTGAATGAATCATGTTAGTCACTTTAATATTTTTTTAAAAAAATGGATTGTATCTACTTATAAATTACTTGGGTTAAAAGTCAAATACTTTAATATCCAAAAAAAATAAATAAAGTATAAAAAATTTTGGGATAAAATTAGAAGGCATAACTGGAAAGGAATCGACGAGATATTATTTGATTGGCAACACAACAACAACAACAACATTGGGGGGATCTGAATAGAACAAGACATTACAACATGGACTAAAGAAATTTTTAACATTCAAATAAATAAATAACCCCTGCCCTGATACATGCTAACTTAAGACTCTGTTCTCCCAAACCGAAAGGACAACATGGGGTAAGGATCCCCCAGACAAAATTATTCATAACATAACATCTGAAAAATTGTAAAAACCAACCCACCCAAAACTGCAGACCCCCCCCTGCACCCCTTTTATCCTCTAATGAACATTTATTTCAATTGCCAAACGACCATTTGCCCAACACATCAAAACGACGATTTACGAGCTGCATTTTTTCACTCTGCTGTCTGCCCTTCCTTAACTTGAGCTCTTTCGCTTTGCTACAGCATCCAACATTACAAGATTTTTAATCAGCATAATTAACTTCAAAATTACTGGGGATAATTAAGAAGAAACCAAAGTATTTTCTACCTTATTCTTATCATCATGTTCGGTTTTTTCCTCGTCAAAATCTTTAACATAATCTTCAATTTCATATATCCCATCATCCTCATCCTCTTCACTATCTTCATCACCCTCCATGGCCTCCCCAGTAAACCAGGAGACAGCATGAGGAATAATTTTGTCTCGAATAATCAAGCTGCACAAATGAATGAATAGACCATGTGGAAAATGCCAATGTCATGACAACATTAATTTTTAAGATGTTTTGTCAGAAGATAATTGAAGACATAGAACATACCCAATATCATAGTCCTGCTCAAGGATATCTTGGAGCTCTTCAGCCTGTTCAAGAAACTGGAAGAAATAGAGAAGTAAATAAATAAATAGAACAGATAACAGAATCAATTATAATCAACATTTATTCAGATGAAAATGATGTTGGGTCGTACAGCTTCTTCATCTATCTCTTCAACATCCGGAACTTGTGGAGGGTCGAAGAAGTTGAAAAAACTTTGACCATCTTCAGCTTTTGTGAGTGACTTAGTATTTTTTGATTCATTCTTAAGTATATTAAGGGTCTTCTGAGTCAAGGATTTTCCAGGATACCAGTCGATCTCAGTCCTACAAAAGATAAAAGTGTGTTTAACTTCTATAATCCACTAATGCAATGTAAATTTTTTAAGAAATAAAACAACATAACTAGCTACCCGATAGCGCTCTCAAGGATTGGTTCTTCTTCATCAATCATGTGATATGTCTTTGTTAAGACAGTATTCTTAAAATAAGAATTTGGATTAAAGAAAAACTCAAGCTTGAATCCTTTAGGTTCGTTTATGGAGCACCACTTAATATCTTTAAGATACTGGAGAACGAGTTCATCATGCTCCCTAATCTGATCCAGAAGGCGAAAAGAGAGGAAAGAAAATATGTCAAAACATTATTTGTAATCCATAAGACGTAATAAAACAAAAATTCATGCTTCCAACGGCTGACCACTTCAACTAGGACTTCATTATTCCTCAAAGCCATTAGCCAGAAACTCGGCACTCCCTTCTCTGCAAGAAGCATTCATAAGCGTTTTGCAAACAGAAAACTAGATGTGCAAAATGAACTAGACCAAAAAGGCAATACCAGTATCCGGTTCTGGTTCCTTGGAAGTTTCTTTTGAAATCCCTTCAACTTCAACAATACCATTCACGATATTATATCGCTGCACAAGTATGATAACCAATCAGACTAAATCTAAATGAAAGGTAGTGGAAACTTTTTCTTAGGGGCAAGAGGAAAATTTGGATTTAGTAATTACCTTAGCATACAGGGGCTGATACAGTTTTTGATATTTAGCTTGAAGTGCAGCCTTTTCCTCAAAAAACTTCGCCTCTAATTTATCATGCTCATTCTGTAAACATTGAGAAAAAGAACACATCAAAACAATACAATTGCAAATAAATTTGAATCCACCATGCTATATCTTGAAGTCATATATCTGCCAACATGTAAGCAAACAATACAATCTACCAAAAGTATGAGACTATGATAGCTAAAGAAGTGAATCAGCACAACGAATAACACTATTCAAACTCATCCCTTGGCTAGAAACACTTACCTGAATCTGCCTGAGAACCTCGACTCGCTTCATGACATTGGGAGTCATAAAGTTCGTAAAGTTAGCTTCATCTTCAACTTTCAAAGCTGTACTCCAAACAAATAAGAAACATGAGTTTAACAAGCTAAGCAATTCAAGAAATAGAGAAACTGATTACTGAACAAGGAGAGGTTACAGATTTATGGATTGCAGTTACCTGCATCGAGATCAGCCATGGCAAAGGTATCCTTGTTATGGCTCATTGTTTTTGTGCTGGAGAGGGGTTTTGGAAGAGGGAAGAGAAAGAGAGGCTAAACCCGAATTAGGGACTTTTAAAGCAGGCAAGGACGAAAGGATGGGAAATGAAGAACGAGTTTGAGGCTTATATAGGCTCAAATCCTCCACTTTCCAAAAATGGAAAAAGAACCTAGTCACTTTCTACGTACCATTTTCTCCTTATTTTGTTTATTTCACTTTTTGCCTCCATGTTTTTTAGGGGATTTACATTTGACATCAAATATTTTTGGTACACCTCTATTGACTTCAAAGTTGAAACTTTACTTTGTTAAACGTAATATTATTGGTGTGATGGAAGAAAAAAAAATAGAAGAGATCGTTTGTATAGAAGATTGTTGGATATTTTTATTACACAATTGCCTAAATAATTACTATTTATTAGTTCAGTCATAGATGTGTATGTAATAAGTGAATGTACATTGCGCTTGATTATGCATAATTTAAATGTTTCTTATGTGTTCATACATGTAGAGTGCAATAGTAAGTTACTATATGACAAAAAATTTACAAAGAAGATTAGTGTAGAAGATTGTTGGATTTTTGTGATTATACAATCCCATAGAAAATTGTTATTTATGTGTTTACACGTAAATGTGTACGTAATATATGAATTTGCCTCATGCATGATTACGCATGATTTAAGTATGTTTTACATTAGCTTACGTAATCTACGTATATGAAGTATGCAATTTTGCATAATTCAAATTAATTTATTTGTTTTGATTACGTAATAAGTGAATTTTAGTTACCATATTGTTGAATGTAATTAAACTTGTGGCGTACTAGAATTTATTAAAAAATAAAAAGTGGAACAAAATTTATAGGTTAACAAAGAAATTATTGATCTTTAAGTACATTACTGGATTACCAATTAAGATTTCTCGTTATATCAATTAAATTTGCTTATATTACAACAGCTAACAAAATCAAATGTCATGTATCATTTGATAATCTAAATTTTCAATAATACAGAGATCATTGAAGACTTGCTATAGAATGATTAGTTTGAAAATTTCCTTATGCATTTTGTTTGTATGTTTTGCACATTGCTAGTCAAGAAAAAAAAATTCTACAAATTAACTAGCCAAAAATAAGTATTTTTCATGTTCAAGGTTTATGAAGTCTAGAGTAAGGGATGAATTTGAGAAATTTATTTAGTATGAGGTAAATCTATAAAAAAAAAATTCATTAAGGAAAAGTCAAAATTTTGTTCGAACTTATAAATAATTTTGTAAAAACTTTATTTTTTCCTAGAGGTTCATCAGCACGCATCCCACATAAAAGGAAAAGACAAGAAAGGAAAGTTGGAAGGATTTTCTTTCTATACTAAGGAGATTGTAATTCCATAATTGGAAAAAGGGAAAATTAGGTTGGAAAGATACCAAGTATTTATTTTTACTTTACTTTTTTGAACATACTAAATTCGAAAAGTTGCCATGTATTCGTATATATTAAAGAGAAAACTGTTTTACACAGTTCATCCAACAAAATTACTTAAATATTTTTAATTTTGTTTTTATATTATTTTATTAAGAACATTTAAATAATTTTATAAGATAAATTGCATACAATCCGTCTAGCAAAATAGTTTTTTGTAAACTAAATTGAATTTTAAAAATATTTTCTTTCTAAGAAAAAGGAATAATTGTTTCTAGTAAGGGTGAATTTCATGGATAGTCACATTTTTACCACTAATTCCTAAACTTAACAAAATGGCAACCTAACTTTGCCAAAATTTACCATCACCGGTTCAATCGATCAAATCGACTAATCCAATTTAGTTTTTAAAACATTAGATTATCTAAAATTTGACGCCATTTAAGATATAGTTTATTTAATTATTGAAAATTAGTATGCATTATCTATATAAGGGTTTGTTTGGTATAACGATTAAAATTTAGCAAATAACGAGGTAAGGTAACGAATAGCAGTAATGGGTAGCGCATAGCGGTAGCGGTAACAAGTAATAGGTAACAAGTAGCAGATAGCATGTGATGATTAGCAAAAAGCATGTAGCAAATAATAGATAACATATCGATTAATCAAATTGTTTGGTTATACAACAGTTAACGAATGTTGTTTAACGTTAAACAACTAATAAGAACAT